CACACACATATATATATATGTAGATACATGTATAGCACACTATGAGACGGATCCTTGCTGGTACCCTACTTCGCGGAAGCTGCGAACCCTGAACCTTTTGCCTGCCAGGCTTGAATGTGAAAGTGTGAACCGCTTCCTTCACCCCACAGAACCTGGCTTTTGAACGACTTATATAAAGAAACTATAATCAGAAACCCCTATCTGGGGGTCGAAAGACCACCTAAGAAAAAACCCTCATCCAGGTCTTTGTGTGCTCCCTATCTTCCCGCACGATTGTGTACAAGGGCCAGTTCAAGCCCGACCAACTTTTCGAGTACTACTTGGACTTTTGGTGACCGAGTAGGGTTTAGGGTTTTAGGGTTTTAGGGTTTTGGGTTTTGGGGTTCAGGGTTTAGGGTTTCGGGTTTAGGGTTTAGGGTTTGCGTAAACTTTGGTCGGCCTTTGTTTGAGCTTGGCTTGCCTTGCGAAATGCGGAGGTTACGCATGTTTGAGCCTATACTAGCTTGAGCCGGTGAACTAAGGACCTCAAGGCGGAGAAGTGCACAGCCTTCTTGGCAATCGTGCACTCGCGTTTCTCCACGAATTCCTTCCCATCTTGGAACCGTGCCCACCCTTTCCGCCGCATTGCCCACAACGGCGAGATCAACACTCTAGCAGGCAATCGCAACTCCATCCGCACCCGGGAGGCATTGATGAACGACACCAAAGCCTTTGGTGGTGCGCAGCTGGATGCTTTCTTCCCCGTGGACGAAGATATCGGCAGCGACTCGGCGTTGCTGGATAATGTCGTGGAGCTCCTTCTAGCCGCAGGCACCCGTGAGCTCGCGGAGGTCATTATGATGGTGATCCCGGAAGCTTGGCAGAACGCCGATCGCATGGAGCCGGAGAAGAAAGCTTTCTACAAGTCCCTAGGTCCCCTAGTAGAAACCGTTTTCGATGTCGTGTTCGGGTTCCATCATCAATTTTGAAGAGTAGGATTAAAGGGCACCCATATCCTAAACCCTAAACCCTACACTCCCGCCAAAGTGCGATCGTCGTACCAGTAACCCTCGCCAAGGCAAGTCCGAGTGTGAGTGCTGAAACCCTACATTCTGCAAGCCGAGGTACCTGTCCTGCGTCAAACCCTAAACCCTAAACCCAAACCCTAAACCCTAGATTCTGTAAGCCGAGGTACCTGTCCTGCTTCAAACCCTAAACCCTAAACCCAAACCCTAAACCCTAGATTCTGTAAGCCGAGGTACCTGTCCTGCGTCAAACCCTAAACCCTAAACCCAAACCCTAAACCCTAGATTCTGTAAGCCGAGGTACCTGTCCTGCGTCATGGAGCCTTGGGATGGCCCGGCCTTGGTTTGCTTCACCGATGGTATCCAGTTTGGCGCCACGCTGGATCGAAACGGCCTCCGTCCAGGCCGCTTCTACATCACCAAGGACACTAGGGCGAATAGGGACCCCGCAACGGGGGTGGAGGATTATCAATCATTATTACTGAAGCTTAGGAAAGGGGCATGACTATCAGGTATGGCTATCAGTTACGATTCCTCAAGTTTGGGGGTAGCTGGTGAAAGGATCTCTCCTAAAACCAGACCTCACCTCGATCCCTGAAAATCACCAGAAATCCGCAAGCTTCAAGCCCAGAAAGGCTGACATCGATGGCCCGCAAGCCTTGAGACCCCGAAGCAGCCGAAAAAGCTGTGTTTACACCAGAACCACTGAATCCCAACCTCAACTGAAAGCCTTAAGCGAAAACTTTGGGCTATAAAGCCTTATGCCTGCAACCGGCAAGAGCTAAACGGAGCTACGCAAAATGTCAGATACCCATCAGGCCCTAACCCACCAAGCCCTGCAAAGGACAAGCGGCTGATTCTCGCCTCCGAGGTAGGAGTTGTGGATGTCCCACAGGAGGAGGTGCAGTTCCTCGGCGCTTGAACGGGCAAGGGGTTAAGTTTTAGGGTTGCAGTTCCTCAGAAGTTGAGTTGTGAACCCTTCTTATCTAGATCAGAAACATGTAAATCCGATTGGAGCTGCTAAGCTGGCCATTTTTGCAAAGTGGCCTGTGAACTGGGCAGCAAGAAGGTTCAAAGGACGTCTTCGGCCAGGCCGCATGCTCTTGGTGGACTTCAGCGAGGGGAAGCTCATCGAGGACAACGAGCTGAAGATGCGCTACGCGAAGAAGCAGCCCTACGCTGACTTTCTGAAGACTCACAGCATCGAGATCAAGGCTCGAAGCCCTAAACTCTGAGCCCGAAGCCCCAAGACTGACGAAAGCCGATAAACCCTGAACCCTGATATATGAACAGATTTTTGATTAAGAACAACCAAATAATCGTAATGATGATGGTGATCAAGGACCGACTGGGTCCGGAGCCCAAGACGGATGCGGCGCTCATCGAGGAGCTGCTCGATGAGGAGCCCGGCAGCTTTGATGCCTCGGATACGACCTTGGTGAACAAAAGGGTGCTGCCTTTGCTGACCTACACCGGCTACACCTACGAGAAGGTGCCTTGCCCATACATACACAGGCACACAGGTATGTGCATGTATATATATATATACACATCTGAATACATCTGTTGGTATGTATACCGAAGAAAGAAACACAGACAAAAGCAGTAGCAGCAAGAGCAAGAAGGATAACAGTTACAAGAATAATCATAACAAGAATCATTCTCATCATTATTAGTCCCTAAACCCTAAACTCTAAACCGTCCAAGCTAAGTGGGAGGGGAAAACTCTACGCAAACCCGAAAGCCTAAAGAACAAGTCTCATGCAAAAAAAGGTGGAGATGCTCCTGGCTCCCATGGTGAAGACCGGCGCCGAGCCTTTGGGCTCCATGGGCTCCGATGTGGCACTGGCCTGTACCTGGGCCCCAGACTCTGGGGTTTAGGGGTTTTCTGGGGACTAAGGGGCGTTACTTCCATAAAGTTTAAGGTTATTCGGGGGTAGGGGCTTTGGGGTATTAGGGCTTTATGTTTTGGGGCTCCTTCTCATGATAGTCACTGATATTCTTATGTAGGTCCTTTAAATAGGGTCTGGCTTCTCGACGTTCAGGTATGTCCCGGATGCCTCGCCAGCCTTTCGACTACTTCTTCCAGCTCTTTGCGCAGGCCACGAATCCCCCGATTGATCCGATCCGTGAGGCCAACGTGATGTCCTTGACGTGCCCAGTGGGCCCGGAGAGGGGGCTCCTACAACCCTCCCCGGAGGCCTGCTGAAGCTTAAAGCTTTGAACCTAAAGACCACAGCCTCTAGAACTGTGTTTAAGTTCTATACAAACGTTACTATAGAACACGTTGCCTTAAGCCCTGAGCCCTAAACCCTATACGC